GCTCTCCGAATGGCTCTGTCTCGGCACGCCCAGCACAGCGTTTCATGACTCCATGGGGGTCCCGACCGGATGCCCCAGCGGCAGGGTTCGCATGGCGGCATCGAGCACGTTCGGCCCACCACTCACGAGGATCGTTGCCCCATGGGAGCTCCACCGAAGGCGCCAGTGGCAGCGTTCGCGTGGCGGCCTCGGGCTGTTTCGGCACACGCGCTCACAAGGATCGTGGCCCCAATGGGGGCTCAACCGAATGCCCCAGTGGCAGGGTTCGCATGGCTGCCCAGCCAGATGTCGGCACGCACCTCACGAGGATCGTGGCATCGTGGGAGCTCCGCTGAGGGTTCCAGTGGCAGGGTTCGCATGGCCGCCTCGGGCCATTTCGGCACCCCCCCCGCGGGGATCGTGGCCCCACTGGGGGCTCCACCGAAGGAGCCAGTGGCAGAGTTCGCATGGCGGTCTCGAGCAAGTTCGGCAATCCCCTCGCGAGGACCGCGGTCTCATCGAAGTCGAAGCCCCACCGAAAGCCTCAGTGGCAGAGTTCGCATGGCGGCCTCTGGCCATCTCGGCATACCCCTCGCGATGATCGTGGCCACATTGGGAGCTCCACCGAAAGCCCCAGTTGCAGCGTTCATATGTCAGCACCGCCTCATTTCGGAACACTCCTCACGAAGATCGTGGCCCGACAGGGAGGCCCACCGAAGGCAATGTTCACAGTTCGGGTATTCACTACTGCATATGGCTGGGCTCTTCGCCAGGCTAATTGGGATTTCCCCTGGCAGTGAACTCGATGATGGCTTGCGGTTCCAATGCCATCCCCAGGAGATCAGCTCGGACAAGAAGAGCAAGCCAGGCACCAACGCCCTTGGCTCGGTCGCTGCTGATGGTTCCGACTTCTGGTTCATGGACCTCGTTTGCAATGGAAAGAAAATACGATTGAGCGATGACATAGATGAAGCTTCCCCACTTGGACTTCGGAAGAGCACTGTATATTGGACGTGGAAGCTCGACCCCATCAAGGTCATGCTGAACGGCAACCTCGGGCGCGAAGAAGGTCAGGCTACTGCTTGCCGTGACCGCATGAGAAAGAGAGCAGCCATGAAGGACGTGGACGAGCTCACCGCCGCCCTGGACGCGTGCGAGCATGCTCGGATCATCGCCTCAGCCCCCGGCTACTTTAACAACCTGGACGACGGCAAACTGTTCACCGCCGTCGACATCATCACGAAGCGCCTCGGCGACAAGGGCTTCCCATCAGATGTTCAGATCAAGTTTCATGTTCGCAGGTGCGTTCGCAGACGCGACGAGATCATTTCGCATGCTCAGAAGTATGACATGAGCCAGATGCTCCAGATGAACAGATTGATTCAGCCGCCGCGCGAGGCGGACTTGAAATTCACAGAGCTGATGCACTTGGACGGCTCACCGCTGGAGAAGAAGAAGATGTTTTTCGACAATGTGTTCGGGAGCGTGGCGCTCCACCACGCGGCGCTGGCCTTCGACCCTGTCAACGCCATTCGGACCGTCAAGCTGCTGGAGGAGTGCAGCGCAGTTGAGTTGGATGAGTTTGCTGAGGACGAGATGTACGGTGACGCTCTCATGGACATGCAGGAGGGCATCAAAGTGCTCATGTGTATATTGGATCCCAGCGGGGCGCCCTCGCACGCTGACGGTTTGGACATTGCCACCATCCTCTGCGGCGGCTCGCTGGGAATAGTATCTTCGATGTTGTCGGACTTCCTTTCGAAAAATTCGGCTGCTGCGGCCTCGTGGCAGGAGGCGCAAACAATTGTGTGCACAGGCAAGCAGTGGTCAGATACCGTCAAGAAGCTACTCAATGACATGGATGCGGACTCTGGCGATCTCTGGGCGGTCGTGAAGCAGATTACAGGCGCCATCAAGGCTGGCGCGGCTGTGTTCACGGATGCCCCCCCTGACCAGAAGGAGAAGCTCAAGACTGCCATCGAGGACACAGCTAAGACCGCGTGCATTCGCTCCATCTCTGACGCCGACTGCTTGGACACCGAACTCGTGGAGACGTGCGTGGGCGTGGTGGGCAGCATCATCGGGATCGGCACGGACACGCCATCATATTGGAAGAAGTTGCAGGAGGACATGCGTGCCGCGATCGCCCTGAAGAAGCAGACGACCATGAGTGACAGTTTCCTGGCAGTGTGCAAGCGCATCGTCGAAGCCGACTTGGACAGGGATTCGTCGACCACGGGGCTGGACTTCACGACCAACGGGGCCAAGATCGCCGTGACGGCGTTCATGAAGCAGCTGGGGGTCATCGGTGACATCACTTCGACGGGCTTACTCCCTTCTCACGGGAAAACTTTGGTGTTGGTTGCAGACGCCCTGGTGAAAGGCGTATTGGTCTCTACGTCTGCTGGCATGTGGGACGACCTCTCCAGGCAGGTTCATGCTGCCACCGCGGCGTTTGCCAAGATGCTGGGCCCCTCGGCCGCTGGTGCGACCTTCTTGCTGGACATCCTCGGCGCGGCGGCGGCGGCGACGGCGCACTTCCAGGCGTTCCGCCAGCTCGCGGGTAGTCCGTCGGAGGCTTGGGCGATCGGGGAGGCGAGGGAGAAGTTGGCAGCGGTGCAGCGCCTCGCCGCCAACATCCAGGCCGACGCTGCGAATGAGGCCTTCGCCCAGTCCCAGTTGGTTTCGGCGTCCCTGGTCAAGAAGTTCATCGACACGTTCACGGCCGCTCTCGCCAGCGACATGGACGCCGTGGCGCAGGAGATCGCGCACGCGTCAACTGAGAAGCTGCGCAAGAGCGTGGCGGCCTTTGCCGATATGGCATACGGCGGCGAGGGTGGCCAGCCCTCGACCCGCGACCTGAAGAGTGGCTACACGTTCCAGGACTACCTGACGTGCGCCACGAAGACGCTTTTCAAGTTCGACGGGAGGACCTTCAAGGAGCGGCACGACAAGCTGCTGGAGGATCGCGGTTCTCAAACGGTTGGTTGGGGTTGGCTCGTCTTGGGTCTCTGGCTACATGGGCCCATCCTCCCTTCTCTTTCCTCCTTCTTCCCTCATCCCTCCTCTTCCTTCCTCTCTCCTCCTCCTCTTTCCTCTTTCCTCCTTGCTCCTCATCCTTTTCGCTGCCCTGCTTTCCCCGTCCTCCATCTCCTCCTCCCGCTCTTCCTCCCCTCCTCCCTCCTTCACCCTCTTCGCCGTCGTGGCCCCGCCCATCGTTCCCCGTCGTCGCCCCCTCTACGTCGCCCCCGCCCCCGCCATTGCCCCCCCTCATCGGGCCCCGCCGAGGGGCGGGCGGGGGACTGATGGCAGGTTTCGGGGTAGCGACTTTTCTTCCATGATTCGCAAGTCTTCGAAGGTCGACCCCTCCGAAGTTCCGTCTGCCCAGCGGCATCGAGGCCGTTCGGAGGTGGAACTTCGGAGGGGGCTGGACTTCGAACTTCAAGCGGTTCTTGCTTCTCGATGGGCACCCCCGCGGCGATCGGGCTCCGTCAGGGGTTGGTGCAGGGCAGAGTGGTATATCTAGCGTTTCCGCCATCCACCCTTGATCCCCCTCATCCCGTTACCCACCTCTCCCTATTGCTTTCTGGCAGAAGCTTGTTTGCGGTGTCGGGTCCTCGGTTTGAAGAGACGGTGCCCCGCGTTCCTCTCATCTCATCCTCTCCTTCCCCCCCCCCGTCCACCTTCATCCTCTTCCTCCTCCCCGTCCTTGCCCTGGATCTCCGAAGGTCTCTGCGTCCGCACGCCCATCACAGCGTTAATTTCCTATTCTTTGATGGGCCCGACCGATGCCACCAGTGGCAGGGTTCAATGGCGGCATCGGGCCAGTTCGGCCTACCCGTCGCCAAGATCGTGGCCCCATGGGGGGTTCCACCGAATGCGCCGATTGCAGGGTTCGCATGGCGGCCTCGGGCCAGATCGGCACAACCTTCACGGGGACGGTGGCCTCATGGGGAGCTCCACCGACGGCGCCGATGGCAGGTTTCGCATGGCGACCTCGGGCCATTTCGGCACACACCTCACGAGGATCGTGGTCCATGGGAGCTCAATCGAAAGCGCCAGTGGCAGGTTTCGCATGGCGACCTCGGGCCAGTTCGGCACGCCCACCATGGGGATCGTGGCCTCATGGGGGGCTCCACCGAAGGCGCCGATTGCAGGGTTCGCATGGCGGCCTCGGGCCAGTTCGGCACACCCCTCACGAGGATCGTTGCTCCATGTGGGGGCTCCGCCGACGGCGCCGATGGCGAGGTTCGCGTGGCGGCCTCTGGCAGTTTCCGCACGCCCTTCATTGGGATCGTGGCCCATGGGATCCCCACCGAAGGCGCCGATGGCAGGGTTCGCATGGCGGCTTTGGACCGTGTCGACACACTCCACATGATGATCGTTGCCCTATGGGGAGCTCCACTGAAAGCGCCGATGGCAGGGTTCGCACTGCGGCATCGGGCACGTTCGGCACATCCTTCGCTGGGATCGTGGCCCCATGGGGAGCTCTACCGAATGCCCCTGTGGCAGAGTCCGCATGGCAGCATTGAGCCATTTCGGCAGTCCCATCACGAGGATCGTGGTGTCATGGGGCGCTCCACTGACGGCGCCGATGGCAGGGTTCGCATGGCGGCCCAGCCCGATTTTGGCACGCCCCCTCACGAGGATCGTGGCCCGACAGGGAGCTCCACCGAATGCGCGAGTGGCATGGTTCGCATGGCGGCCTCGGGCCTGTTCGGCACACCTTTTACGAGGATCGTGACCCCCACATGGGGGCTCCACCGAATGCCTCAATGGCAGTGTTCGCATGGCAGCCCCACCCCATGTCAGTACACTCCTCACGAGGATCGTGGCCCCATGGGAATTCAATCGGGGGCCCCAGTTGCAGGGTTCGCATTGCGGTCTCAGGCCATTTCGGCACGCCCTTCACGCGGATCGTGGCCCCGTGGGGTGTCCACCGAAGGCGCCAGTGGCATGGTTCGCATGGCCGCATGGCGGCCTCGGGCCAGGTCGCCCGCGTGGCCCGTCCCGTCGACCAGGACCTCCTGGACGTTCAGACGGTTGCGACGTTCTTCTCTTTGCACGCCGACACCGCGGAGGCGGTGAAGCTCGCGGCGGCGGGCCACAAGACTGACCTCGAGTACCTCTTGCTGAAGAGTTTCAGCTCGTACCACCAGCTCGACAGCCCGAGCGCCGAGCAGAAGAAGCAGCTGCGCCTCGACATATCGAGGGAGATGGCCTCGCGCGTCCACGCTGGCACGGTGCTCGTCGACAACTTGGCTGACGTCTTGGCGGTGGCGGTGCGGTCGGCGAAGCAGGGGCGCTACTCGAAGAACGAGCAGCAGTAGGAGTATGACGAGGAGGGGGCTGGAGTGCCCAGCGCCGCCACCAGCCCGATTATGTTTCATGTTTGTGAGATGCGGCCTGCGAGAGTCGCAGGCCCCCACATCAGCAGGCAGGAGCCTGCAGTCGTTTGCGCTGCGGGCCCTTGTCCCCGCAGCACCTGGCGCATCTCAGCGCCGTGCCTCCGACGAGCCCCCTCCCTACTCATCCTGCCCCCTTCTTCGTGCCAGAGGTCCCCGTACCTCGTTGCGTCGCATCGCTCGCATCGTCGTTATTCCCCGTCCTCCCTCTTCCATCATCACAAGAGTAGTGAGGAGCGGGATAGAGCAGGAGGGGTGGAGAGATAGGGGAGGAGGGCAAGCGCCAAAGATGGGGGGACATAGCAAACGCCATAAGAAGTGAAGGCGGGAGCAAACGACGGGCGTTGGGTTGTCGTTGCCTCCCCCCCTTCGCCCATGCCATCTTCGCCCTGCGCCGTCGGCCGCGGTCGTTGACTTCGGCGGCCGACGACGGCGCAGGATGAAAATTGGTCGCGGCGGCGACGGGGGGGGGGATGGCGATAACTCAGCGCCACCTCTCATATATCCCACCCTCCGCCATCCTTGCCCCGCCCTCTTCTTCGTGTCCGCCAGCCCTCGCAGGTCCCCTTCCTCGTCGCGTCGGCGTCGGCCCCGCCCTCCGCCCACCCTTTCATGCCACCCCCCTCGGTCATCCCACAAATTTTGTCATTCGATCTTTCAGCCCCCCCGCGTCGGCCTCCCAGCGCGAGGTACTCCTCCTCCTCTTTCTCCTCCTCCTCCTTCTCCCCCTCTTCCTCCTCCACCTGCATCTCTCCTTCCTCGTTCTCCCTCCCCCTCCTCCTCCCCTTCCTTCCCCTACCCCTCTCCCCGCCCTCTCCTCTGTCTCTTTTTCCTCCTTCTCCTCTGCGTGCTGGGTGTGTTTCGTCGGGCCCCTCCCTTCGCATCGTTGCGTTTTGTTCCCATGCGCTTATCACACTTTCGTTCGAACCCCCCCCTCCTCCGCTGCTGTCTTTGCCTTTCAGCGGCTTTCTTCCGATCTTTGTTTGGCTGCTTGGGTGGCTGATGCAGGTTGCGCGATAGAGGAGTTGGGTTCGGGACGATCAAAAACACGAAAAAACACAATTTTTATACGTTAACAAAACCCTACCACAAACCAATCCCAGGAGGAATTTTCGGAATTCTCCTGCCCGAGCCCAAATGCCTGCTGACATAGGTCTCAATGATAGTGCTGTGCGTTCCCTTTTTCACTCTCCGGGTTTTGGACGCTACGAAGTGTTCTTCGGGTTTTAGACGCTACCAAGTGAACGCTACCAAGTAAACACTACCAAGTAACTCGTAGAGCTTTCCTTAGCAAGTTATTGCTGGAAGCTTTAGAGTAATTCCGGAGCGCTGGAGAGCTAGTTGGCAAGAAAAATCTCGACGGAACGTTTGATGACTTTTGCTCGGCTGAAAATTTTGTTCTCAAAATTTGACAATTCGTTAGAGCTCTAGTATTTTTTCCCGTAATATTCGATCTTATTCCCGCTTGTCATCTTGATCTCAGCTCGATCGGGTGAATATTACTATCGAAAAGCACGGTGGCGGGATCGGCCGTTTTGAGTCATCTTGAGGTTTTCTGAACATAACTCGAGCTCTAGAGCAGCTACAGAGCTGGTAAGCACAGTTAATGTATGCAGAATGCTCAGGCGCGTTCGCCTGTTGAACCCAGAGGTCTGAAATCGGGCTGCTAGCCGAGCTAGGTCCGCAAACTTATTAGTATTATTCGAGTCATCGTGACAGACACTCTCGGTTTTCTGCACTTAACTCGAGCTGTAGGACAGCTACAGAGCTGATATTTACAGGCATGACTCCAACACCATCAGTTGCGTTCGTCTGTCGAACCGAGAGCTCTGAACTCGGTCTGCTGCCCGATCTAGAATCGCAAAACTATTTGTATCGTTCGAGTCGCTTGCGAGATGCTGTCGGTTATCTGGACTTAACTCGGGCTGTAGCGGGGCTGCATGGCTGGTAATCACTGGAATCGATTTGAAGACATCAGGCGCGTCCGTCTGTCGAATACAGAGCTCTGAACTCTGTCTGATGCCCGAACTAGCTCCGCGAAACTATTTCTATTGTTCGAGTCATCCTGAGAGGTGCTATCGGTTTTCTGCACTTAACTCGGGCTCTAGGGGGGCTGCAGGGCTGGTAATGACAGAAGTTGATTCGCAGACATCAGAAGCGTCCGTCTGTCGCATTGAGAGTTCAAAAACTATTCACTATAAGTCAGATTGTTGGTAAGTGCTGTCTGTTTTCTCAACTTAAGTCGAGTTAGGAAGCTCTACGAGTCCCCCGGCGGTAACCAAGGTGGACGGTTTACCGCCGGCGCCCAGTTTGGAAGATAGTTCACCATTTATTTTGAGAAAGCAGATTTTTACGCCGAGCATTGGCATATAAACTCCTCTCTGACAGCAGCTCAGCTCGCGTTGGAGAGCTAGTTGGCAAAAACAATCTCGACGGACGTTTTCGTGACTTTTGGTCAGTGCAGAATTTTGTTCTCAAAATTGAAATTCGTTAAACTGTATTATTTTTTCCCGTGATATTCGATCTCATTCCCGCTCGGGGTCTTGATCCCAGCTCGTGGGTAGCTTTTACTGCCAAGAAGGACTGCGACAGGATCGGCCGTTTCGGATCATCTTGTCACGCGGCGACGAGTTTCTGAAGATAACTCGAGCTTTAGAATAGTTAGACAGCTGGTAAGCACAGCTAATCGATTTAGAATGATCAGGCGCGTTCACCTGTCGAACCCAGAGGTCTAAAATCGGTCTGCTAGCCGAGCTAGGCACACCTATTCGTATTATTCGAGTCATCTTAACAGACGCTCTCGGTTTTCTGCAGGACAGTTACAGAGCTACGTACAGAATCTGATTCAGAATCATCAGTGGCCGTTGTCCTCCGAATCCAGAGCTCTCAACTCGGTCTGCTGCACCATCTAGAATCGCGAAACTATTCGTATTGGTCGAGCCATCTTGAGGGATGCTGTCAGTTCTCTGCACTTAACTCGGGCTGTAGGGATGCTGCATGGCTGTTAATCACTGGAATCGATTCGGAGACATCAGGCGCGTCCGCCTTTCGAATCCAGAGTTCCGAACTCTGTCTGCTGCCCGAACTAGGTCTGCGAAACTTTGCGTATTGTTGGAGTCATTCTCAGAGGTGCTGTCGGTTTCCTGCACTTAACTCGGGCTGTAGGGGGGGTCGCAGGGCTGCTCATCGGATTCGATTCAGAGACATGAGACGTGTGTCTGAACTCGGCCTGATACTCGAGCTAGGTTTGCCAAACTATTCTGATTCCTCGAGTCATCTTGAGAGGTGCTGTCGATTTACGCACGTAAATCGGGCTGTAGGAGAGCTACGGAGCTCGTACAGAAGACAATCCAGAAGCATCAGGGGCGTTCGGCTGTTGCATCTGAGAGGTTTGAAATTGCAGGCTTAAGCAATATTTTTTCAGTGTAATTTGTTTTCGACAGCATATGTTGTAAGGAAGCTCTACGAGTCCCCCGGCGGTAACAAACGTTGACGATTTACCGCCGGCGCCCAGTTTTTTACTTTATGCAAAATTTTGAAATTCTTTTTGAGAACCAGTATTTTTCTCACATGTAGTGGGTTCTGCCGCATCTGCCAGTGAAATTCTCAGGTCCGTAGCTGCAGTATTACTATCAAAAGACTTGAGGGAACCAACTTTGAATGAAAATCAAAAAATCGTCTTTCTTCGAGTTTTTTTCTGCTCTTGCTTCAGAAGCTTCTCAATGTGTTCCGAGAAGCGCTGTGCAACAGAAGAGCTCTACGAAATGCCCGGTGGTAACCTGGTTGACGGTTTACCGCCGGTTCCCAGTCTATTGAGAGCTCTACTGTAGAGGTCCTGAGCATCGATGAGCCAGAGGAATTCCGGCGCCGGGTGGAACTACCCAGAGGTGCAATGGCGTTTAAATTAAACGGATCGTTTAGTTTTAGACGTAGAGTTTAATTTAAACGCGGACGCTTGTTTTAGTTAAACACGTTTGACTCAAAAATCAACATCCGCGTGTTCAGCGCAACTCCTCATGCGCGTCGTAGTGTTTTCGTGCGTCCGCGCCAGCGTCAGCGAGTTCACCGCGATCAGAATTGCTCCTCGCGTTGTATCCGTGAGCACGATTGCATCCACATAGACAGTCCGACGTAATGCGCGTCGGAAGCGTCGTTGCGCAGGCGCGATGACCTTCCACTGGTCATATATCGCGGAACGCGTGGCCATCATAATCATATATACAAGGGGGGGAACGGAATACGTAAGGAGCAGTGTTATTGGCGAGCGGAGTCCCGCGGATGTTCACGAGAAACGGCCCAGCTTCAAAAAACGCACAGGCGGTGATAAAAGTCATATCGTCTTGTGTTCGTTGTTGTGTGTGCTTGGCGTGCGTGGCAATCCCCTTTCTCCCTCTGGTTCATGGTGTGTTTCTGTGCCCGCCGATGGCCATGTATTTCCATCGGTCCCCAGAAGAGTTGCCACTTCTGAGTTCGGGAACTCAGCTCGTTGGCGGTTTGCTGTTCATTGTTGCCGTTTCGTCGTCGCTTGTCTTCTGGCCCCCCTTTGATTCCGCGTCGTCGTGGCCATGTCTTTTTTGTTTTCGCTAGTCGTCTGAATTCCACGTTCGGTACAGTGCCTCGGTAGTCGCCGTCGCCGCCCGTCGCCACCTCACCGCGGCCCCTCTCCCCTCAAATGCACCGCAATGGCCCGAACATCATTTCAACGAGCCATCCTGCTGCGGTGCACTTGGATCGGCGCCATCGATTGCGCCGCATACATGTCGCAGAAGCACACGCCTTTGAGATTGCACTGTTTGGGACAGCGTGTAATTATGTAGGAACGTGCCGTGGCCTCCCCACTGCTCTCATCCTCGCCCCCCTGATTGCATAGACGATCGTTGAAGCAACGATCGCTGCAACATCACTTGCTGCAGGTATAGGGCAGC